CACGATTATTACAAGAATTAATAAGTCGGCTACGTAGAGCATCTTCCATGTCAGCTGGCACATAGTAGGTGCTCAATATATGATAGTTATTTTTTCTGTAGATTCATTCAAACACTAACACGCAAACTACATACAGACACATGGACACCCAAAGCACACACTTACATATATACTGACAGCTACCCCCAAATGATCTTTGACCCTGTGACCATAGAAAGCATAGCTGTTTCTCGCTTGAGTCCTGGATTTTCCATAAACAAGCATCTCTGAGGACTCACAACCGACAAAAGGATGCCAAGAAAAGAGCTAGAAATGGCATCCTGCCCAGACTAAATCAAACGCTGAGAATTCCTGTCCCAGTTACTCTTAACCCTGGTTGGGGCTGGAGAATATTTATAAGGTTTTATTTTAAAGCCCCCCCCGCCAAAGAAACCCTCCCCAAACTCCATTGCCATAGAGTTAATTCTGAGTCATGGTGATCCCATATGTTACAGAGTAGAACTGAGCTCCATAGAGTTTTCTTGGCAGTGACGTTTACCGAAGCAAACAGCCAGGCCTTTCATCTGTGGAGCTGCCAGATGGTTTCGAACCACCAACCTTTCGGCTAATAGACAGGAGTAAACCATTTGTGCCACCAGAAACCTTAAGGAGGGGTGACGGTATGAAGCTAAAGGCGCTCCCAGAGACACAGCAACGGAGACAACTCAAACCAGCCACTCATCACGGAAGACAGGCAGGGTGCTGGGCTGCTGGGGTGCCAGCCTAGAGTCCATCTCTGCTCCATACCCCCAGGGAAAAATGGTACCTGTGACGCCATCAGTAGCCCAGGATAGTTTACATACACAGCCTACATGCCAGGACCAGGAAGAAGCAGACAGCAGGAATCGTCATTGTGGCTTCCACCTTCAGCTTCACGAAAAACATCAGATGGGGCTGCACCTGAATTCCTGGAGGATCCACTTCCTCCCACAGATGTCTCTGCAGTCTGCGCCTTCCAGAGTGCTGTTCTCATCTTCCGCTTACATTCGAGCCTTCGGTTCGATCAACTTGAGTCTCATATGCATTACAGCCTGTGAAGTTTATCCTGAGCACCACCAAGGAAAGGCAGGCTCATGATGTGCTTGAAAATGTGCCCCTTTCCACTAATACACTTTTTTTTTTTGGCTCTGGTGGAAAATGTGCACTGTGTTAAGCCCCTAGGAGGGTTTTAGCATTTTAAGTGGCTGCATGTTGAGATCTGCAGCAAAAATGGAGAGAAGAGCTTCTAGCTGAAGGTGAAGAGAGGCTCTTGTCCTATGAGGTGCAACCTCACCCAAAGGGAGCCTTCAGCTCTGTGCTTTCATGGAGGATTGGAAAGTTCTCGGATATTCTCCCAGCTGCTTCCCCATTCTCTCCTCCCTCCCCTCCCCTCTTCCCAACTCCCACATCCAAACATACACACACACTCCAGCCTTGCTTCTTTCTCCCTCCGCCTTGTCCCCAGGGAAATAACCGAATAAGCAAAGCCTCTGCTTTTCAGTCTCCAGACAAAGAACCGTTCAAACACCAGGCCAAAGGAAAACAGAAAGCAAGTCTCCAAACCCAACTGGCCAGGTTCCCAGTGGAGATTTTGGAGCCTTATGTTAGTGGAAATTCAGAGTGACCTTATCCAACATTTTCTCCCTTGCTTTATTCAAGAACACACACGCGCGCGCGCACACACACACACACACGGACAAAGTACAAAAACCAGAACCTGTCATTGAAAGTCTTCACAGGCTGGGACAAGAGCAAAGAGGAAAGCGTCAGTCAAGAGCATCAACCAGGAAAACGACTTTGCCAACACCTAGTTCCCCAGCTGCTCACGCTGCAGGAGTTCACGCTCACCGCTCCCAGGCAGCCACCTGACTGCCAGCGTCACAGCCACGGACGGAGTGAGCAAAGAAAGGTTCAGTGGGTTTCAAGTACACATAACACGCACAAAATCCTCACCCACATCCCACCCAGAACTCCCCTCTGAGAGGCACAGCATGTTAACTCTTTTGTATCTGAGAACAGAGAAGGGAACGGCTATGGCTTGCTGGCTTCTGAACAAGGAAGTTTACGGTAATACAAGGCAGGCAGCTCAGTACAGAGTCTGAGCCTTCTCGAACCCACAGCACTTGGAATCGATGTGCAACGAAGCAGCACTGGACTGGGTACCAGAAACTGACACCAGCTGTGAGGTTTGGGGCACGTTCCTCTACCTCTCCAACCTTCAGTGTCCCTGTCAGATGGGCATGAAAACTCCCACCTCCCATTGTTCACAAGGCGGGAATTAAATGGGACCGGCACCAAGAGGAAACAAAGTCCGACACCCAGAACGGCCAGGCAGCTCTCCCGAGTTCACGCAGACATCAGAGACGGTGGAGATGGACTACAATCAAGGTACAAATATCACTCCCCATGCAAACACAGCTCAACCAAAGACCATAGGCAACTGGCAAGCCCCACTTCTGTGTCTCCTGATGGAGAGAGATGTCTATGCAGACATCTCTCGCTCCTCTCCTTCACTTTTAATCTGTCTTTACACCCATGGGCCAGAGTTCCATTTTACATAAATTAAAAAGAGAGATGTTGAAGGGAAAGGAGAAACAGCTGTTCAGCTGTGGACTGAAGTATGCTCGCTGGCACGAAGGAGGAAGATCCCACGTCTGACAAAGATCTGTCCTGTCAGCGGACACAAAACCAAGGCAGGGAAGGTCTGGGTCACGCACGGTCGCTGGGCAGGGAGGCCTGTTCCTCTCCCTCAGCAGCCTTCCCATTAGCTGAAGCAACCCACGTGGTGGTGTGAGTTTAGCCTTGAAACTTCTGAGGAGCCAGCCAGCAGGTGGGTCACATGCTCAGAGGCATCTCCAGACGAAGAAGAAATGCCAAGCGTCTGCACTGAAAAGACAGAATGGGACTGGCTCTTGCATGCGAAGCTGGAGCAGAAGAGAAATCCAGAAATACACTGATTCCAATTTGGATCCCACAGCTTTCAACATGTGATTTGTCAGCTGCCTAGACAGGACGCCTCCTTGGAGGGTTCCTGGGCTCCGGCTAACACTAAATGATTTTAATTATACCATCCGGTCATTCAGTTGTGCAGATACAGCTGCTCTAGATAATATGTTTTATTCTGTCAGCTCAACCCCTAGGGTAAAAAGTTTCTTTGCGTGGGAATGAATCCGGACATCACAGTGACTGCAGGTGGCACCTTCTCCACTAGCAAAGCCTCTTTGCAAACCAATGGATGTAAGCATATTTCCTTCTCAATGGATGGTTTTGCTTTTAGCAACAACACTTATAATAATAATGATATAAAGGTAACAACCACCACCATAACAATAGCTAACATTTACTGAGTTTTACTATGTAGCCAGGCACTGCTCTAAATGCTTTTCCTATTGCTCATCTGGCTCTACTGCTCTCCCCATTTACAGACAAGGAATCAGTGCTCAGACAGGCAGCTCTGAGTGTCTTCAGTTCTTTCTGAATCCAGAGGCCAAGCCGTGGTAAACATCATCCCATCTAACCTCTAAGTTCCCTTCTCATTCCTTAAGCTTCCATAAACGCATCTTCCTTCCCGTATTCTACTTCTTCCCACATGGCATGAGTGCACCCTTGCAAACCTGTCATTTCAAATGAGGCTATTTCACTCTTCCTGGCTGCCCCAGGACTGCTTACACAGATGGCAGTGACCGATGGAGCCAATATGTTTTAACTGTCACACTGAAAAAGAATTCCTGAGGGGAAACAACATTTGATGGAAAGGCAAAACCTTTACAAGCACTCGAGGAGGCATTAAAATCCAAATTTCCAGAATGTGGTAATTCTGCCAAAGTTGGGACTTACTCTGGAGCCTTGGGGACCTCATCCTGACCCATCTGTGAAAGCCATCAGCAGCCAGCAAGCCTTCTGGGGAGCTCGAGTGGAGAAGGCGATTTGGCCTCCAGCAAGGAGGCGAGGATGCTTCGTTTAGTTTAAGCCTCACAGAGATGGTTAAAGCTCTCCCCGGGAAGAGATGTTCAAGCAAAGCCGACTGCAGGCGTGCAAGCCTCCGACTAGACAGCCAGCAGTCTAGGTACGTGCCCTTGCGGCACACTGGAGGCCTCCCGACCGTGGCTACCGGTGCATGGACACTGTAAGCAGAACTCACTCACCGGGGAAATCATGCCTAAGTTATACAAAAGCGATGCTCAGACTGGTGGATGGCATTGCATCAGGTACAGATCACCTACCCCCGAGTGACTCGGCCCAGGCCGGATTATTTGTGGATCATAAAGGTCTCTCCGGACCCCATCAGAGTCCAAGACCACAGAACAAAGAATAATGGGATTAAAAATCTGTATTCCATCTCAAGAACGCCAGAGCAGATTACCAACGCTATGACGGGCTTTTGGGAAACCAAGAGTGAGGAGAACTAACCAGGAACGCTCCTGCAGGAAACCCAGTTTGGAGAACAGACGGAGTCATGTGTTTCACACAGGCTGTGCAGTCACATTCTGGAGCTCTGTCACCATTTCTAATCTGAAAGCGGTGGCTAAAATTAAACCGAAATAACTCGAGCGCCATCTCTCCACCTGAAGTCCCAGCCAAGCCCTCATTCCTTATAGCCCCTGATGGTTTCTGACATCCCGGGCTGAAACGACTCGGCTGCACACGAACACTGCCAGGCGTCTGGTTTTTCAACCCTCTCCCCCATTACTCCTTTTCTTTTTTCAAGCGAACTGTACTCCTTCAAGTGTTCTTGTAGAGAAATGCTGCTTCTTAAGAACTTATCAAGCATTTCTTCCAGACTCCCTACAGCTGTAACATATACCACTTTGCAGCTGAGCTTCCTAACACGAGGCGGAAAGGCAAAAGGTGTCAGAAGGCCACCAAAAATGCCACCTTGTCCACGTAACATAGCCCTGAGGTCCTCCTCAAATGCGTTCTCATCCTTACTAGAAAATATGCTCTGGTTTCGATTCGTGAATTAGAGCAAATTTCTTACCTACCTCTAGAGAGGAGAAATGCTCAGCCTCGGAGGAAGCTTCTGCCAGACCTGCTGAGCTTGTCAGTTGCCCCAGTTCACTTTCTCCCTGGGACTGGCTCCCAAGAACGCAGGCAGGGCTGCTGGCGGCCAAAGCATCTTCTTGTCAAAACCCTGCTCAAAATCCAGACCCTTCCTGAAGCGGCCAGCAGCCTCCCACCCCAGCTGCTCTGCGCTCCCTCACAGACAGCAGCGTTGCTGGCTCAAGACCCGGCTGGGGGACCCACCAAGCCAGTGGAAAAGGGTGACTTCCACCCTTCCTCTGGATCCGCCTTCAAGCTCCGATCCCCTTCCTGAGAACCCGGCTTCGTGTTAACTCCCCTTCTTCACGACCATCCGAAGGAAGTCACAGACCCCAGACTCAGTGTCACCAACTGTTCCTGAGCCAGACCCGGGGTGACCAGTCAGCTGCTTGCCGAGCCCAAGACGCTGAACCAGGAAATGAGCAGCTCGCCAAGAAATAATAATAATCGTCGGCGGAGCTGCTGGTGGAGCCCGAGTCACTGTTGCAGAGCCTGCATCCTCCGCATGCTAATGAAGCCGTGATGTCAGCAAGTCCATCATGGCATCTGGACAGCCCTGTCCCTGCTGCCCAGCACGGGGATTATTTACATGTAAATTAGCCTTACCTTCCAAATCAATAAGCCCTAAACCCTGGAGAGGGGAAGAAAGCCTTTGCTGGATGCAAAGGCTCCAGCTATGCAGCCCCCAAACAAGTACCAAAAAAATCAAATAGAATAAGAGAGGCTTTTAAAAGGCACGCCTAGTTTTTCTTTTTAAGGGCTGAGCTCCTACGTGCCAGGATCCGATCTGGGCACAGCTATCAACCTGCGAGCCTGTTTCAGATTAAATGCTTGCCAGCTGCCGCACCAGCGCAGGAGTGAGATCAGAGCTGTCTTTCCCACCCCACCCCCACCCCCCACCAAAAAAAAAAAGAAGGGGAAAAAAAGAAAAAAGCTGTGGCAAACATCCAAATGCCTCTACTTGGTTTTTCTTTCTTTTCTCTTCAACTTTCATTTCAGCGCATTGGCTGTTTGTTGGCCTGGAACTACGTCACCTGTGAGTTTTTGTGCAACCCCAAAAGTTACTGCTTTCCTTACATGCTTAGATTATGACTTAGCCCCCCACCTTTCCCCAGCTCCAGGAGAGCATGGGACATTACAAGCACAGGCCTGTCCAGGGGCTTCTAAGGACCCTTAAACCCTCAGACAGCATCGCTTCATCTTCTCATTTCACAGATTATGAAATTGAGGTTTTGACATTTTTTTTTTCCAAAGTCACACTGAGAATTTCAGGAAAGGAAGAAGCAGAGCCCATGTTTCCTGGGCCTCAGGCTGAACCTCTGTTAAACACCTTTGAGCCTCCAACCTCCAAATCTCTGTACCATAAAGAGGCCTATCGGAGCAATCACAAAGAAGAACTCTAGCAAGTCGGGGAGTCCCGGGTTCGAGTCCTGGGTTTGAATCCTGGCTCTGCTTCCTGCTAGTAATCTGACCTTGAACAAGTAATTTAACCTTTGGCCATCTTCAATGTCCTCATCTGTACCACTCACTCGCTCAGTCAAAACCCATTTACTGAGCACATACTACGTGCCACGCAGTGTTCTAGAGACTGGGGATGGGAAGCATCTCTGCTCTCACAGAGCTAATGTTCCAGTGTTAACACAGACGGCACACATATCTAATGGACTGTGCCGAGGGATAACCCAACATCAGATATGCAATAAATAACAGCTGCTTCTGATGTTCTGGATGAAGTCAGAAAAATGCACACAAGGCTTTTCTCTCACCAGGACGGTCACTGTCCCTACTTCTGAGTATCTCCATGGTCATCTTTGATTTTTTCAGTATCCTGGGCCAGGTGAGAGAAAAGCACAAGCAAAGCCAGTACTCTGAACTCTGTGCCTGTGACAGGAAGCATGGGTGAATGTGCAGAGGAGGCTGGGGAGAGGTGTATTCTATCAGGCACAGAGGCATCCTGGGGGACAATGCAGCCAGCGTGGCTCCTGGCCACACTTTCCCGCCTGAAGAACCCACTCTGATGAGTTCTGCCCTTCCAGCTGGAGTTCCTGGAGCTTCAAATGAATTTCTTTGTTGGATGTCGGGAGTTAAATGATGTCTTTTGTTACCTGTAATTGTATTAATAATGCTTAATAACTTCTTTCAGAATGCCTCTCTCTGGTTCACAGAGACTTTTCACGGTGAGAATCACAGGACCTGGCATAACTTTTCAGGAATAGAAACCAAGCACAAGAGAATGAATAACGTTCTGCTTTAGATCTCCATTTCACGTAACTCAGAACTTGCGGGGAAGCGGATGGTCCCCCACATCTGTAAATCCTTTAAAGTCTATTAAAAATATAACAGTTTGGGGCCCCCAACGGTCATGTGGAAGCAGCGGCATCGTGCACTGGTATGGCCATCGACAAGTCACTAAACAATTTCTGCCCCAGTTTCTTCATCTGAAGACAAGCACATTACTCTCTGATCTCTTTATCATTAGGGTTATCATCCGAGAATGATGAGAAGCAATTCGTAAGTAATTGACAACGAAGACAAAAGCTGGAATACAGAAAGCGAAAAGAGATTAATTTTAATCTGGAATAGATTTAGCAATGGATACCAACTTCATAAGGGTTAGCAATATAACGTGGGACCTGGAATGGACTGCCTGGGTTTAAACCCTGGCTAATACTTGCTAGGTCTGTGATTTGGGGACTGAGGTTCTCATCTATAACACGGGGATAAAAACACAGTGCTTACCCTCATTGGGCTGATGTGAGGATAAATGAGAATCAATGTGGAACACTTAGCACCATGCCTAGCAAGTACACAATAAATGTTTGCTATTGGTAGAAGAAGAAATGATATGACTTCCACAGTTAACTTGATACTAACTAGTAAACTGACCAGTTCATGTTCAAAATGCAGGAGGAAGGAGCTAAGTGGAAGACTGCAAAATCACCCCCATTCTTAGGGCACAGCTCCAAGTTCACCTAATGTGGGTGAGCGGCTGACATGCTCTTCTCTACAAGACGCAACGCAAACACTTTTCAGTTACTGTGAAAATAGTGAGAAAGTGGTGCATCAGCGTAGAACTCCCGCCTTCCATGCAGGAGACCCAGGTTCAATGTGTGGCCAGAGCACCTCGAGTCCATCAGCGGAGGCTTGCATGTTTCTGTGATGCTGAACAGGTCTCAGCGGAGCTTCCAGACTAGGAAGAAAGGCCTAGCGATCTGCTTCTGAAAATCAGCCAGTGAAAACCCTGTGGGTCACTATGGTCAGATCCCGTTGGGCATGGGGTTGCCATGAGTCAGGGCCAAGTCACCAGCAGCTGACAACAACAACAATGAAACTAGAGAAAAAAGCCGTCAAAACGAAGCTGTACAACAGGCAAGACAACGATTGTGATGCCTGGATGTCCCATCCCTTCATTCCTGTGTCCATTCACTCATTAAATGAGCACCTACTACTGGCGAGATACGGTGTTAGGCCTTAGGAGCTCGGCTGCTAACCAAAAGGTCAGCAGTTCAAATCCACAAGCCATGCCTTGGAGATCCTATGGGGCAGCTGTACTCTGTCCTACAGGGTTGCTATGAGTTGGAGTCAACTTGACAGCAAAGGGTTTGGTTTGTTTGGTTTTGCGTTAGGCCTCAGGGACACCAAGGTGACCAAGACAGGCACAGGCCCTGCCTTAAAAGAGCTTAGAAATGAGAGGGGAAGACAGACAATTAAGCAAGCAATTAGAGGGGAATACGATGCGTGTCCTGATCAGACGTGTGCAGAGACCCCAGAGGTCTAACTGCAGTCAGGAGGAGGATGATACAGAAGTGCATCCACTAAGTCCCTCTCAGGGCACGTGCTCTGCGAGCATGCTCGGTGACAAGGAAGCTGGAGAGTCAGTGCATCCCCCGTGCACAGACTGTCAAGATTAAAAAAATCCACATATCGATGACTTCTTGTGACAATTATTTTCATCCTGGAGACCATTCTATTCAGGATTTTTGGAAAATATACTTGCTAGGTATCAGACAATGAAAGGCAACTTTGGAAATTTCAGAGACGTGGTAAATAGGGACACAATTCACACTGTGTTTACTAAAACAGGCAATGCATACGTGCCACTCAATCAAGCATTTCTTGGGGATCTGTGAGACGTAGGGAGCTATTGTTGGGATACTCTTAACCACTGCGCCACCAGGGCTCCCCTGGGATAGCAGAGCAGGATGCGAATGCTGACCTCTGGAACGTTCCATTTGAGTGGGATGCTAAGACATTAACAAATGACCACAGCTGCATACTGTATCTAGGGAGATTGACAGGGGCAAGACTGATTGTGGCTGACATGATCAGGAATCAGGAAAGGTAGGACTTGAGTCAGGTCACCTTTTAGTAGCCAGAGAGGGGGCTCCAGGCAGGAGGAGGAGCATAAACACGAGGGAAAGTTTAGCACAAATGCATAAAAAAAAGACGGTCTGTATGGGCACAAGACGGCCATCAGCATCACGCTGACGCTGGCAGGTATTGACAAAGGGGCTGCCACACACGCCGGAAAATCGAATCATCTTTCCATTCTACAAAGCATTAGCCAGAATCTTATTAGAGGATTATGGGAAAGGTTAAGCGAATCGCTGCTGGTTAGCTCACAGAAGGGCAGGGTAAGTGATGACAAGGACTCTGGCCTCCAAGAGAAAGGGCTTTAATGCGGAAGGTGGTGACGAACAAGATGAACAGTATATTTTTTTTAAATCTCCATTTCCAAAGGTGGAAAATAAGAAGGAACAGATTTTAAATGAACTAAAGAGAGATTTCACTCGGACCTTCTGAAGGGGGCCTTCTAGGGGAGATTTCTAAATACTGAGACAACCAAAACTGGCACACTCTCAGAGAAACGTTAGCATCTCGGTCTTGGGAGGACTTCAAGAAGATGAAGGCCAGCACCAGCCCTGGCCGGTCTAGGCAAACACCTGCTATTGTGAAATCCCAACTCCTATAATATCACCGAAGTTCCATACACGTAACAAAGTTCATTTAATTTCACCGTATTAAAAAAAAAGAAAAAAGTGCATGTGTGTCTGTGCACACACGTGTGTGTAGTTATAAATAATCCATTGAAGAGTGGCTCCCCGATATTCAGATTTCAAAGTCCAGTAAATTTTTTTAAAATTGGAAGTGAGAAGGCTGAGAAGGAATTGTCATGTTAGTTGGGATAGGTTAGGCTATGATGCAGAGACAAACACCCCAGACACCTCAGTGGCTTAGCACAGCATAAGCGGGCTTCTTGCTCACACAAAGTCTGCTGGAGGTCCAGCGGCTCCCCAGACACCTCTATTCCAAGCTGTGACTCAGGAATCTAGGCTACTTCCTTGTCTCTGTGATCTCAGGGCGTAACTTCCAGGCTACGGCAATAAATGAACGGCGTTACTTCTACTGATCAAACTAGTCTCCACACCTCACCCAACCGCAAGATGGCTGGGAAGTGTGTAC